TCACCTCCCTGCTCCAGGCTCTACAACCTAACGGGTCCCAGGGCCACTCAGGTTTGGCTCAGCTGTCATGATGACAGGAGCCTCGATAGGCCAAATTTGAGTGAGATGCACTGCAACCCCATGAGCCGGGTCAGAACTCCACTCACCAATTTGGTCCAGTCAGAAGGGCGGGGTCAAACCTGAGCAGTGCTGCAACCCCGGAGGTTGCAATGCTGGGAGTGGAGAGCCAAGTCCAGCCAGCCACAGCACAGGAGCTACCACCCACCAGGGGGCCAGGACCAAACCAAGACCACCCCAGGGCTTCCACCCCCAGACTATTTACTGGGCCGCGACAGGACATAAACATTTACAAATGAGTCCTGAGCCCAAAAAGGTTGAGAACCACTGGCCTAGTGGAAACACCACTGTATTTAGACTGTTCCTAGCTCTGCCGCTGGCCTGCTGGATGACCCTGGCAAATCAGTTTCCCATCTGTAGAATGGGGATAATGATGTAAAGTTCTCTGAGAGCTACTGATGAATTGCACAATATAAAAGCTAGGTCTTTTCATTATTACCTTGCCACAGTAGCATATCAACTGCAAACCTAGGTAAGAACTACACCTGTCTAAATGGCCACTAACTCCTACCAACAAACATTTCTCTTTCTGTTTAAAAATTTAGGAAATTAAAGGGGGAAAATACATTGCCCCAGAGTGCAGGTTGCCCAGTGATAGCTCATGCCCTTCCAGCATGCTGAGTTCAACAAAACTCAGACTTGAGAAAACCAGGAACTAGAGTTCAGGTAAACACCCATATCTTCGCCCTCTTTGAGTGGTGCCCCAATACAACCATAACACACACATTTGTGCTGTGTCTTTTTACTGTACTGGACAGGTGCTACCTGCACCTGCCCTATGTTCCAACACGGAGCTTACTCCCCTGACCTAATACCATACTTGAAAAATATAATAACCACTCCATACCCTTCTACAACCCCTTCACACCTGCACACAGGAAACCACCAAACCTATACTTTCCCCTACCAATCATTAAATCCACCAACAGCTCTCACATCCCACCTCACTACCCATGATACCCATGGCAAGAAGAGCCCGGTGTCCTGCTACTGACATGACTGATGCAATTCTGTGCTGAAATGATCCTGACAGGACCCTCAAAGTACACACGTGCACCTCTTCCTTTGATCGCACACTGGGGGGACTCAGACCCAGACCTCCTCATATCACAATCACAGCTCCTCCAAGCTGCTCCAACGTATTCCTCTACCATTGAATATGGCTCTGACTACCACAGTGAATGCAGCTGGAGCGCATGCAGACAGTGGCGGATTTAGAGTTAGTGGGGCCCTGTGCTCAGCTTCATTTTTGAGGCCCCTCCTTGGGACCCAGACAAGAAAAAGAATATTCTCTCTGATCTCCTGCCCCCCCCCCACGCCTCTGTTTTTCATTCTTTTTTTCTTCATCCTCCTCCTATAAGTAATAGGAAGTAAATGAAAATAAAGTGAGGTACTTTGATTGTTTTTGTAGTCTAACTTATTTTTCCACAGACCACTTGAAAATCTCTGAGGGTCTCGGTGGACCCCTTAATGATCTTTCTAAATATTGTTTGTCCCGTTAGCTAACTATTGTAAACCGCTTTGAATAAGAGCACTTTATAAAAAAAAAATATGTAAAAAAGCGTTGGGGTGCGGGGTCTGGCCAGGACTTATGGTGCAGGAGGGGGCTCAGGGCTGGGGGTGCAGGGTCTGGGAGGAAGTTAGGGTGCAGGAGTAGGTTGGGGGTTGGGGTACAGGGTCTGGCTAGGAGTTAGGATGCGGGAGGGGGCTCATGGCTGGGACAGGGGGTTGGGATGTGGAGTGCTTACCTGGGACAGCTCCCGTTTGGTGCGAGGGGTGCAGGTGGGGATGTGGGGGTGTGTGTGCAGAAGTCAGGGCTGCAAGTGTGTAAGGGGGATGCAGGAGTCAGGGAGGGCAGGTGGCTGGGGGGCTTGAGGGGGTGCAGGAGTCAGGGGTGGAGGTGCAGGATCTGGGAGGGAGTTAGGGTGCAGGAGTAGTCTGAGGGTTGGGGTGCAGGGTCTGGCCAGGAGTTAGGATGCAGGAGGGGGCTCAGGGTTGGTGCAGGAGGTTGGGGTGTGGAGCGTTTACCTGGGGCAGCTCCTATTTGGTGTGAGGGGTGCAGGTGGGAATGTGTATGGGGGGCTGCAGGAGCTCCCGTTTGGTGCTCAGGGTAAGGAGGAGATGTGGGGGGGGGTGCAGGAGTCAGGGAGAGCAGGGGTTGGGGGGGTGAGAGGGGGTGCATGAGTCAGGGCTGGGGGTGTGGGCTGGGGTCATGGGGGTGTCCCCAGCCCCCTGCCCTGAGTGGCTCACAGCAGGGGGCTCAGGGGGTACGTGTAGGAGGATTGCAGGGGCCCCGCGCTTCCCTCCGCCCTGACCCAATTCCACCCCCTTCCCCAAGGCCCCGCCCCCGCCTCTTCTCCGCTTCCTCCCTGGAGCATGCTGTGGCCCCACTCCTCCCCCTCCCTCCCGGAGTGACCTGAGCACCAGCAAACAACTGTCTGGCGGCGGGGGAAGCGCGGGGAGGGGCGGGAACGCGGCACGC